ATGTGGTTGCCCTTCATAAAGCTTAATTCTTTTGTGCCATTCTGCTACATTATGTGGATTTTGTCGTAATAATACAGAATTGAGTAACAATAATCTCCTTTCCATAAGATGTTCCAATCATGCTAGTCTCAATTCTAATTTTATATCATCTAAAACAAAAAGATATAGTTAATAATCAAATTTATAATAAATATGTGAACTTATGTATTGTATAAGTTATTAACAAATTGAATTAATATACATATTATTTACCTTCTTCAGTGGGATTTTTTGCTGCTTCTTCTATAAGTTTTTTAAGACTAAGTTCTTCAAATTGTGCATAAGCATCAAAAACTTGAGTAAAATCTCTAATAGAAGGTACATATTATTTACCTTCTTCAGTGGGATTTTTTGCTGCTTCTTCTATAAGTTTTTTAAGACTAAGTTCTCCAAATTGTGCATAAGCATCAAAAACTTGAGTAAAATCTCTGACTGTAGTAACAGTTTGTATAGCTTCTTCATAAATATCTCTTGCCTGAATAATATTAAATATATATTTGATAAATAATAATTCATAGAGAGAATATAACATTTGTAATAAATAATATACTGTAAAATATTATAAAGTGTTATTTTTATATATAAATATTTAAAGCTAGTTATATACCCTCTCAAAAAGACCACTTCAAACATAGTAATCTGCTAGTGAATTCCATAAAGGTCCCAATTGATCTGTATAACGTCTTAATCCACCTCTAATAATAGCATCTACATTCAGGGACTTTATTTTAGCAGGATTTTTTGATATTAAATCACATAATTCATTTCATAATTGATGATTAGATTTTCCGTGTTTTGATACAAATGATACAAAATTAACAATCTGTGCAAGTTTTATAGCACCCTCATCAAGTCTACCAACTGATATTAGATATTCGATATATTCTTCTGTATCTTCTGTATCTTACTATACATATATACAAAATACATATACATATATATAAATTTATATAAAACAGATAAAATAAAATATATACATAATAAAACTTTTGCCAAAAACAAAGTTTTCTCAACTCTTAATGTGTATATTTATATTAATCAAAAACATGACAAATATATAATAGTATTAATTATAATATAAATTGTTACAAATATTAGTATTATTAAATATATTAGTGTTCTTACCTTTAAATATCTTCTAAAGACCCTGACAGCAGTCTCATAAACATTATGTTTCTTTAAGAAATTAATATATAATGGCCATATACGATGATGCTGAGTGATGGGAAGTGCTCTAAGAGAACGATCAAATACCTGACGTGTTCGTGTTATATAACATTGTTCAGTCATTAGTG